TCAGGGCAGCGGGCAGGGGCAGCCGCCGCCCACCCCCCGCGCCGCCGCCTCCTCTTCCTCCCTCCTCTCGCCTCAGGCGTCCGCCGGCGGCTGTGAACGCCTCGCAGCGGCACGGCCGGGGCGGGCGAGCCCGAGGGGCGCGGGTTCCTCACGGCGCAGGAGGAGGAGAGGCGATCGGGTCCCACGGCCTTCCTCCCCGGCGCCAGCTTGCCCGGGCAACCGGAGAGGGAGCCGCCCTCGAGCGCCGGCCGGCCGGGGGCTTGTGTCTCGTCCCGCCCTTCGGGCTGGTTGCAGAGGAGGCGCAGAGCCGCCTTAAGCGTGAGGGGAGGCGGTGAACCTCCTGGTGTGAGGGGCTCCGAAGGGTCTCGGCTCTCCTGCCCCAGCCTAAAGGCAAGCAGAGTTCCAGCGATGCGTAGGGGCCTTGTGAAACGTCTTAACTAAGAAAACTGGAGTTTGCAGCATGCCTTTAACATCTCATAACTTCACTGTTCAACTCAGGTTGGTCAAGAATGGCTAGCAGCGACGGCTGGTTTCAGGGTGTTGGAACACCCCTTTCTGACCTCGTGCAAAGGAAGGCTTTGCCAGCTCGGGCTCTTAAGAAGTCTTCTCAGGCTGTGGCTGGAAGGCCAGAGCTTCCACCTTCTGACAGGTGCAGTGTACCAAAGGTGGCACCAAATCCAGGTATAGTTTTCAGTGTATACACTGGGAGCAGCTATTAAAATACATTATTAATGCTAGTGAAAGTAACTTCGTCATTTTCCCTTTTTCTGAAAGGTTGCAACCCCTGCTGCTTTTACTGCTGTATTTTCTTAAATGATTTCTTAGCATCTGCTTGAAATTGTTCCTCTTCTTCCTGTGTCCTTTGGTACTGGAAGATTGTTAGAGCAAGAGATTCATTGTAGGGTGGGCTGTATAGTCTGCAGCATTTCATAATTACAAATTCCCAGTTATACTTTCAAAGTGCTGTAGAGGTTACCAAAATACAGGCCAGGTACTGCTGCATGAATTTTCACAGAGATCATTGAGAAAAGTTTTAACTGCGGTTCCAGATGTGCCAGGATGTATTTTGAATTCTGTCTTTTCGAATAGTTGTGTTGAGGTGAAGGCAGCATCTATTTATGAGACTTGAAGGTAGCAGTTTACTTTAGTTCTTGGCTGGCAGATACTGTACGTGAGTATATGGCAACCCTGAAGATGATGATTCCGTCCATCCTAGAGTTGATACAGGGAAAAAGGTTTCATTTTTCTCTTAAGTCTAAAAGAACACTGATTCTTCAGACGTAGATGCTGTAGGAAGTGTTAACTGATGATTCTGTAGGAGACCTCTATGTCAAAGACAAACGCCCAGAGACAGCGTGCTCCTTGGAAGAGTTTGTCTTTCAAATGACACTCAGAAGTGTGGGTTTGCCTCGGGACTACTCAGAATTTGCAGAATTCTCTTACGACCTGACTGACCTGCCTCACATTGCTCTCTGAAGAGCAGAAGGGCTCTGTGCTAGGACAGATGAACTGCCCGACCACCTGCTGTCCTGGTTCCAAGTGTGGTTCTTCGTGAGCGTGTGGGGTCAGGGTGGGGGTGCAGTGCAGTTGTCCCGATGTTTCGTCCTGGCCACCTCAGCCAGAGGTGCTGTCTCTCTTCAGCAGGTCTTTGTGGGTGTTTTGCTTTGAATGAGTTACCTGCTTTTTGAATAATGTACGTGGTTGCTAAAACTTGTATAGTGCTTTATGACAGGGAGTTCCACCACTTCATAGTTTTGTGTGCAAAACCACATGCTCCATTGTTTTGAAGCTGTCATCAGCAACTTTTATTTGATCACTGGTTTGCAAGGGGGGGAGGAATCTAGGTTGTATTACATGTCTGTGTTCACAGGTTAATGGATTCAGTACTCAAAGTGAAAACTTTGCTGCTTCTAAAAGAGGAGATAACACACCGTTTCAGAATTGCTCGTATTACTAATGGAGGGTTTAGTACAAAGCAGTACTGCTCCAGAGGAAATGTTTTAGCTTTTTGCTCTTCTGAGAGCATCAAAAAAGCAGATTTAAACTGTCGGAGAGTGTATTTTCTTAATGTTGTTTCAAAATCTTTTCTTTTGGAAGCAGCCGACACACCTCCATCATCAGCACATCCTCCAAAGAAAGACACAGAGGAGTTTATTGGAATGTATAAACAGAGGCTAATACACCCAGTGTCTGCCTTGCATCAGTTTGCACAAATGCACCATTTACAGCTAGAATTCAAAGAAACTGGTGTGCCAGGTAAACAGTTCTTCTTTTCCTAAATAAAATAATATTTGCTTATGCTTGAGACAATCTGAATTTCTGCAGTTAGTATTGGTGGCACTAATACAGAGATGATTTTTTTTCCTCTGGTTGCCCTATTCACATATATTGCTTTTTGGCTGCCCTTTTGTTCTTTACACAGCTGTGTCTCCTAATTAATTACTACAGAGTTTGATCAGATGAATTGTATAAAATTCTGGCTGCTACCAGAACTTGGTGGAAAGTGCATGAAAGGATAGCTCCCAAAATTCTTGCGGAGTGTTACGGATTAATCGTAATTTAAAGTGAAATAACCACCTTCAAATTTCTTGTAGTGGTCAATAAAATTTATTAGCAAGCGAAAGTGAGCAAATCAGCGCTGGGTGTGCGGGGAAGAGTCTCAGCTCCACCAAGACACACACCTTACCTCCCGAAACGGAGTCATTTTAAAGTGCAGCCTTCATGAATATTCATGAGGGTGGGGGTGCTCCCTGAGGGGTCTGCAAGTCGTAAACAACTTTTCGCCGGGTTTTTGTTGCCAGGGAAAGTTCTCCGGCTTCCCACCGTGGGGGAGGTGGGGAATGGCTCAGCACAGGTGTGCGTGTATCCATAGCCCAGACAGGTCTGGACATAACACCATTTGGCCTGCAGACGGCGGTCATTTTAGCTCCCTTTTAACAACTGATTTTAACCATAAAAACTATATACATAATGCCTTATTTCTTTTTAAACCTTAGGTTACACGTAAAGTGCAAAACCACATAGAACCATAACACTGTCTGACCACAACAAAGTCCAGTTACAATACAATCTGATATTAACACAATCTCTTTTTATATTTAATTTACTGAATAATATATTTAACCATAACTTGAGATTTGAATAATAAATATATATGTTTTATTACAGTTAGTATTGGTGGCACTAATACAGATAAATTTTTTTCCTCTGGTTGCCCTACCCTTCACATATGTTGCTTTTTGGCTGCCCTTTTGTTCTTTACACAGCTGTGTCATAATTAATTACTACAGAGTTTAATCAGATGAATTCTATAAAATTCTGGCTGCTACCAGAACTTGGTGGAAAGCGCATGAAAGGAAAGCTCCCAAAATTCTTGCGGAGGTGAAAGGTTTGAATTGTTTGTTACTAAAATTGTCTTTTTGTCTTGTACTCATCCCTGGAATGAAAATAAGCACATAAAGCTGTGGATAAAAGTAACTTAAGATAATGTCAGTAATTGTATCTGCTTTTTTTTCTCCTTTAAAGGCGGTATCATACGGCCTTATTTTGCCTTTTGTGCCGTGGTAGATGGTGTTTGCTACAATACTGGACTGGGAAGAACCAAGAAGGAATCTAGATTAAATGCAGCTAAACTGGCTCTTGATGAGCTACTTAACTTCAAGTATACAGGGGCAGAGGTTTCTGAGAAGTCAGGTAGGTATTCTAGCAACACCTAATTAGAATTTGAAAAGCGTGGCTTAAAGGTTTCCTATGCAAAATCTCTTTGTAGTTTTATTAAATGCTTCATCAGGGTCTCAGTTTTCTGGAGTCCTTTGGGCAGAGTTATTCGTTGTATTGTTCTGCCACTGTTTTTTTTTTCTTTTGTGTATTAGAAGTTGCATCAGTTTGTAGCACAGAGCAGAGAATACTGAAGGAATTAGTTTATTTCTTGCTGTTGCACTTGATTTGCTACTCACTGGGTAACAGCAATATTAAGTTGATCCTAAGGGGTTTTAAGTGTTCATGATTAAAAGGCTTCAACACTGAGTTACTACTTTCAAACGTAGTTATCTTCTTTTAAGGGTTGCTGCCTAAATAGGTCTATGCTTACAAGGACTTCACAATCAGAAAATTCTTAGAGAATTAGAAACTTGTAACTTCCTGGAAGTAGTGTGAAATCCATGTTTTGAAATTTGGAATGTCCATCCCAATTTGAACTGTTACATTCTTAGATCCTCCCTGTACTGCTGAGCCCCAAACTCCAACGAGCTCTGCTTGGGTTTCAAGGATCTGTTTGGGTAAGGAATAGTCTTGTTTTTCTCTATCGATTCAAATTACCTAGCAAATGCTTGATTTTCTTTTTTCTTTTTTCTTCTTGCAATGCATGTAGTGATCTCTACAAAGTTACTGTTATTGTCAATTTCTTCTCTTTAAAGAATGCTGTAGGAATTAGTGTCACTAATGTAGGAAATTATAGAACCGATGGTCAGAGACACAACTTCAGTCAGTTGCTTGAATTTAAGTGGTGAAATGGTGACAGAAACAGGATTTCTGTCCTTACTTGACATCCTGTGCGCAGTAGGTGATGGAACTTGATCTATATCCCTGATCTATTGTCACGAATAAAAAAAAGCATAAAGTGTTTAGGTATTCTTGTCCTTAATTTATTCCTGTCCATTGTTATAATCTTCAGAATCCCAAAAGTGTGTGTTGGTAGTAGTGCTTTTACCATGTGTTTCGATTTATAATTTGGCAAGTGGTTGATCCCATCTGGGTTTTCCCCCCCCTGCAAATTTGTGTCTTGCTGACTTTTATTTAGGAGGACAGCTTACGTACCAAAAACTTCCACAGACACTTAAGGAAATCTTTATCAGCCTGACTACCAAACATCCTGAGTACCAAAGTTGTGGCAGTTCACTGGCTGCCTTCATCATTGGAAAAGGCAAGTCTGTTTTGACCGTGAGTACTGGGGAGAGGGAAACCTAGGCTGTTTGTGTTCCCAGAGAGCCTTGAGGAAGACGTTTCTGATCTGGTAAATAAATGGGAAGGGAAAGCTCTCCTTCTTTGACATACTCTGTTCTGATGGCTCTGTCTCATGCATGGTTGTGCTACAGTCGTGCAAATGTTCAAGACCAACATAAGCACTTCCTTGTGCTGTCTGAAAGAGGCATAAGGCTGTGTAGGCCAGAGCAGGTGGATGTGCCTCTAGGGAAGCTGCAGCCCGTGGAGAACCCAGGCTGGAGCAGGCTCTGGGCAAGACCTGTGGCCCTGTGGAGAGAGGAGCCCACACTGGAGCAGGTTTGCTGGTGGGGCTTGTGACCCTGTGGGGAACCCATGCTGGAGCTGTCTGTTCCTGATGGACTGCACCCTGTGGGAGAGACCCACAATTCCTGAAGAGCTGCCGCCTGTGGGAAGGACCTAGGCTGGAGTGATTCAATGAAGGGCTGTATCCTGCGTGAGGGACCTGGTGTTGGAGCAGGGAAGGAGCAGCAGAGATGAAGTGTCAGGAACTGATGTTTCACATGCTGCCCAGCGCCCCTTGGGCAGGGGGGGGAGAGGAGGTAGAGGAGTCAGGAGTAAAGTTGAGCCTGGGAGGAAGGTAGGGTAAGGGGAGCAGGTCTTTAGTTCTGGTTTTGTTTCTCACTATACTACTCTAATTAGCAATATATTAATCTTCCCTATTGAGTCTGTTCTGCATGTGATGGCAAATAGCAGGCACTCTCCCTGTCCTTAACTTGACCTACAAGCTTTTTCAGTGTATTTTTTAATGGAGTCATTTAGGTTGGAAAAAACCTTGAAGATTGAGTCCAGCCTTCTGAGGGACAGGGCTGTGAGAGAGCAGCTTGATGGGCATCTGCCAACCAGACAAGGTTAACCCACCACAGCCACGTAAAAAGAAATGTTTTCTTTTTAGGTGGACAGCATGAAGTTGTAGCTCTAGGAACAGGAGAATGTAACTACAGTCAGTGCTTTCAACCTTGTGGACGAGTGTTGCACGACAGCCATGCCATTGTTACTGCCAGGCGTGCTCTGCTTAGGTGAGAATGTGTGTACAGTTACCAGTTCTCCTCAGTTTTGCAAATGCACATATAAGCACACTTGCATTTTCTAGTTAGCACCTTCTGGATTATTTTCAAAGCATGTGAATTAAATGTGTATGTCCATGTATTTGTAAACAAAGTAGTGTTTTTCACATTTACCATTACTTAACACTTTATTTTAGGTATTTTTATAGACATCTTATGCTGTTCTATAATGAAAATCCGGTGAGGACAGGGAAATCCATATTTTGCACAGCAGCGGGCTCCAAGCTGCTTACCCTAAAGCAAAACACGACTGTCTTTCTCTACATGAATCAGCTTCCAAAAGGAACGGCTCAGTTAAAAGCACATCTGTAAGTACCTTGGTATTTTCAGAGATGTTATAGTGGAAGATGAGTTTGTTTGCAGTGACAAACACGGTTTGAGTGCTAAGCGTTGTTACACATTTCTAAGATGGGGTGGGCTATTGTCATGTTTTGGAAGCGCTAATGTTCAGGGTGGTAGTGTTCAGTGTGTGAGATGCAGCTCAATATGGCGATACAAAAAACTTTGCATGGGTTATAGCTTCAGGATGATGCTTTGTTTATTACAGATACCTGCTTACCTGTTAACCCCCCTCCCAAGATACTGTTAAAATACTAATAAATCATTAAATTTAACCACTGAGAAAGTGGATGTGGTGACTTAATGTCATCCTTTGCACTGCTGAACTGGAGTATAAAAAGCCTTGAATTAAAATAACAAGCTCCTGCTCTGCATTATAGAAATAAAGGTAATGAGAGGAACTTGATGGGACAAATACACTCCTGTGCTTATTACGCTTCCAGCTTCTGTTAAAAAAAGCCCACAAATTTCAGAAATTTAATAGTTTTAACATATAACCAGCAGCAATTGCAGGTTCACCAGGTTAATATGAGCAGTGATATTTTGTGTGCCTTACAGTGGTGCAGTGGAATAATGTCCCTGAAAGTTGTACAGTCATAACTTTATGTACAAGACAGGTAGCTGCTTTTGTACTGTGTATGGGTGTTTGGAAGGCAGCCTTGTGAACTGGAAGTCACAGGCAGTTTATTGGGAGTTGTGCTGACCAGGGGAGCCCATAGAACTGCAGAAGGTTTTAAATTATTTTTCAGTGTCATAGCCTGCTCTTAGAAGGAAATGCGTTGATGGGACTGGATGCAGTTAGCTACTCTGTAATAGTTGATGGATCACAGATTCAGCGCTTTTTCTCTTGCTTTTTGTCCATTCTGGTGTGTGGACTCTTGAGACAAACTCTGGGACGTATTTTCTTCTAATAGAGCAGATTTGCTGATGTGTAGAGTTATTTAAAGATAATTTTTAAAAAGGCACTACTTGTAAGTAATCCACGAAATAGTGAAATGTGTCCACTTATTAACAGGCAGTAGTATGTTTCTTATGCCAAAATTAAATGGTTGCTTTATAATAATGTAGTAAAGCAAAAGCACCTTTAACCATAACATTGTAAGTTACAATAAAATTAGGGAGAGTTCTCTCAGAACTTCAGGCTTTGACTTCTTGCCTTCTTTACTTAAGGGGGGAAAAATATTTTGCTTCCGGCAATCGCTGTTGTGTCTCCCTAATGTGTTGCATCTGCTTGTTTTAAATACTTTGAGAAATCACAGTATATATTACCTTTTAAAGGAGATTAACAACTTTACAGCTGCTTTTTCACAAGATGAACAGCCTCGCAAGTAATTTCTGTCACTGTGTTAAATAGACACAAAGTGATAGCTTGTTTGCAGCATATGCTGATCTTTTTTAATATTTGCACAGCTGATGGCTAAGATTGGATTGAATTACTTATTTAAATGCTAATTCCAGTCATTTGAGCAGCTGAAGGAGGTGTTTCTAAAATTAACAGATATTGAACATAATGTAAGGCCCAGATCCCCTTGATAATTGTTTTCTGAGAAACAGATACCACTTTACAATAATCTCTGAATAGAGTACGTTCTCACTGAAATTCACTTTCTTGTCTGTCTTTAGACACCTCAATCCACAATCTATATCTGCTTACGAAGCTAGTGAAGAACTGAATCTTCATGTTGCTGTAGAAGGCAAGATTTACCCAGCTGTTTGTTGTCCACCTGAAACTGTTAGAGCCAGAAGTATGTCAGCTAGTGACAAATTAACAAAATGGGAAGTGGTTGGTATTCAGGGAGCGTTGCTGAGTCACTTCATTGAACCAGTGTATATCAACAATATTCTTGTAGGTAAGCTTAATGCAAATCTCAGTGGGTTTTTTGTATGTTTTCAAGTTGCAGTTTGATTACATTTTATAAAGCATGAACTGAACCAAGATGGTTCTTCAACAAATTAGAGCATTTTTCTGAAAAGGTACTTACTAAGTGTGTATTTTTTTTTCCGCTCATCTTTGCAATGTTCTAACGTAGAACTCAGGCTTGCTCTTTTGTCATTGTGGGTTTGTTTTGTCTTGCCAGGTTGTTCTTCCTTTACTGTGTATTTAGAGTAACAGAATAAATGCAGCATTGTTTTATAACAAATTAAATTTTAGATATTGACAAAATACCAAGTGTGACACACGCTGTTAACTGTTCAGTCAAATATGGTGACTTTAAGGTGACTGTGTTAGCCAGTTAACTGTAGACGTGGTGGTGGAAGAGCTGCCAGTATTTAACTGAAAGCCCTCAATTTTGCCCTGGGTATTTTAAGAGCTCTATTGGAAATTCTTTGTTCAGTTTTCTGTGTGATCGTGGTCTGTGCCCCCCTCACCTCCCCCCTTTGTATTGGTTAATGCAAATAGATGTTTTGCTGAGGAATAAGGTTTACCAAGATGATAGTGAATTCTCAGGATCTTGTGGCAGTCAGGAAGACCATATTATTACCAGAATTCGTTTCAGTAGCTTTTATTTATTATCCTGAAGGTTTACAGGTGTTCCTCGCTCTTAGTATTTGTATTGTGAGACTTAGTACACAGATGTAGGAGTTCCTCAGGCATTGAAGATGTAGCAGCTTTTCTTTTTCTAACACAGAACAAGGTTTTTGAAGTGCTCCAAATGATCTTGAGAGAGTTGGTGAATGACTGCCTATTCCTTCTGAGGAAGTTTGGGCACTTTTATTTAAAAGCGATAGTAAAATTTCTGATATGCTCACTTAAGTGGTATTCAGATTAAACATAATCTATAATGTATTGCACTTGAATTTAATAGAAATTCTATGCCCATTCCTTGAGATACTATGGAGCAAAGCATTTTTTTTTACTAGGCAGACAGAAATATGTTGGATATGGAGTAATGTGGACAACTCCCTAGCTTATTTTGTAATCTAGAACATCAAAGTTTGTGTTGCAGCTTCTATTTTAATGGTGTCTTCTGCAAGGAGTGTAACTAGTTGATGAAGAATTAATTGTTCCAAAAAGGATGCATCCAGTGAAGGTAATGATGTCTCTGGAGAAGAAACTGTGAAAGCATTTCTGTTCTGTGAACTGAAGATAGGAACTGATTTTTCCAAACATGAATTATGTGTAGAAAAATTAATATAATGTAGACCAATGGAAACATCTGTGTTATTAGGTTGTTTTGGTTTTTTTTTTATTTGATGTACTTATATGTGACCTTTTTCTGTTTAACAGGAAATGGAAATTGCAATGATACAAGAGGACTAGAAATAGCTATAAAGCGACGTGTTGATGATGCACTTGCATCAAAGCTTCCCATGCCTTATGTGGTCAACAGAGCCCATACTTACTTGGTGAATGCTGCACACCCAATTCAAATGGACTATACACAGAGGTCTCTTAGTCTGAATTGGTCATTGTCAGATACATCACTGGAAGTTGTGGATGGGTTAAATGGAAAAACCACTGAAAGGTTAGAATTTTTCCTCGTTATGTTGGAAATAATGGCTAGCATTATTGTTTTGTGCAGGTTCATTGGCATATTCCCTTTTTAAGCTATGCATGGAGGCCATAGTATTACCCAAATAGAGTCATTTTCTCCTGTGTTAGGTGAATGCATCTCATGGTTAGATGTAGTTTTAGAGATCTTCTAACTTCACAGTGAGATATCAAGATACAAAAACAAATAGTTCTTTGAACTGAGATGTCTTTATTCCATTGTCTGTTGTAGTGAATGTATTAGTTTTCACAGTACATAAAACCAGTTGGCATCCTTGTTCAAATGAATTCCAGTTCGAAAACCATTTTTGGTTGGCGTGTTTAAATTCTCACAGCTGCTGATTTGCATTAGCTTTGCTCACTGAAAGTGGAAGTAGAATCATGTGATTGTATTCATAAAGCATTAGAGGGGGGGAAAAAAAAATCCTGTCATGGTCAAAGCAACATACTGTAATGTATTTGTTACTGAGTTTTGTTACTCTTTCATTTTGACTGTAGCTCACCATTCAAAAGCGGTGCTTCCATGGCAAGTCGCCTTTGCAAGGCGGCCATGTTTAGTCGTTTCAAATTGCTTGCTAAGGAAGCAGAACGGAATGATTTGCTTCAAGTTACAACGTACCATGAAGCTAAGGTAAGCTGGTGACTTGCGGAAACACGGCTCCACAACCTCTAAGGTTAGAAAGTAGGTATGTGTATTCAGCGCTTAGGCACATGGGGGATTGTTCCACCACAAACGTGCGCACCTCTTGTGGCACCTTGTCTTGGCTTTATGCTACAAAGCATCACATATTCATAATACACCTATACATATGCATAACCTATCCCTGCTTTGTATTATAATGAGCCTGAAAGTCTTTTTCATATGTTCCGCCCCAGTCTCCTCCTAGTTGCGTCTGCACAGTGTGTCCTGGTGGTCGTGGTCTGGAGTTGCGCAGATGAAGTAGCTCCTCTTCTTCACTATTGAACTTTTTACCTCGGTTCCTTGCACAGTCTCTGTAGCCTCTTGGACTCAGGCCAGACCATGGGGTTGGTTTTGACCGGTTTTTAGGGCTGTCTTCCTATTCCATCAGGAAGCATTCTCTCACAGCTTTTATTAATCAAGGTTTCCATATTGTTCTGCTCTCTGGCCCATCAACTATGATCTGTTATCCTATTTTTAATCTTAGTTATCTTTTAACTAATGGGCCTCTAGTCCCTAGTCTGATCTCTAAGCCCTCCATCTTTATCTCTAAACTAACTTATACATTCATTTCTTGAGTGCCTAATTTCTATATCCTATTTTAATATCCTAGCTCTTTCTTCATTTCACTGGTATGGGAGGGGAGGGGACGTTTCAGTAAGGAGATGCTTCATGGCTACTCTCAAAGCTGGTTTGGTAGCCAGGGGTGACTTTCTGCTTTGCTGAAGACTTCTGAAGAGCTGTATCTCCTTCACTGGCTATATTCAAGTAAAATTAACTGCTGAATTAATCTTGAGACATTCTCTGTGAAGATCTGTTGTGTTTTGTCTCGGCATGCAGAGGTTGCTGGCCATTTTCCTCACGTAAGATAGTTTCATATTAAAAAAGTTGGGGGATTTTTGTTCATGAGTTCCTTTTCAATATGGGAGTATTCTTAGGTCACAGAGGAGTAGAAAAGTAGGAATTGTTCATGGACAGACAGCATTAGGTCCCAGGCTTTCCTTTTCATATAAAAATACAGATAAATTACTTAAAGAAGCTACTGTGATTCTTGATTGCTGTAAACACAGTTCACTCACTTCTGTCCATACTTGGAAATAGGTAGTCTCATCTTCCCAGTACTTCTTGGTACTCTTCCCAGGTTTTTCCTCTCCTTTGACCAAGAAATATATTTTATTTACAAAATTGTTATGTGTAACTTAAGTTTTTATAAAGTACCTGTCTTTTTTTTTTTTCCCTCCTGTCAGAACATGCAAGAGATAATTTTTTTAATGATTCAAAAACTACTTCAAAATAGAATGGCTTGCTAATTGTCTGTTCATGTGTTTATCTTTGCATTGAGTGATGGTAGAAGTTTATTTTCTGTGTAAAGATAGTATTGAAACTCAAAAGATGCTGTAAAAGAGTAATATTAAACAAAACAATTCTCTCATCCAGATAAATGCCCAAACATCTAAAAAGAGTATGTTTTTAGAGTCTGTAACACTTTCACTGTCGGCAATTGAGGAGATTAAGTAGATAGTGTTTTTCTACAAGATTTCTGTTTGTTCATATTATATGCTGGGGATAAAGAACACAGGTCTCTCTAACCATCATTGCTGAGATATTTCTGTTTCTTTTTTTTAGATTGAATCTGAATTGTACCAAGAAGCTAAAAATTTGCTGCAAAGCTACTTAGAGCAACATAGTTATGGGTCCTGGATTGTAAAGTCCTCACATATTGAACAGTTCAGAGACTGACTGCAAGGTGGATTATGTGTGTAGTTGGTTTGGATGATTTCTTCCAGTAAAATGTAATTCTGATTGGTAAAATGTTTAACTGTAGGATTCATATTTGCAGCTTGAAAATCATTCCAGAGCTGCTTCTTTTCAACTTAAATGCAGTTATTAAACTATCTGTAACAGCTTAATTTCTTCCAAATGTTGATGATTTCTCTAACAGTTTTGCAAATCTGTTTTGTTTTCTCCCCCATTGTCACCTCTTTTCTCCTTATGGTAAGAATATGGTAACATTATGGCAAGGGTGTTGTTAAGTACCATACTTCAGTTTTGGGTGGCGGTGTGAAATATTGGGGTGTTTAAGCTAAATAGTACACTTCCATTATGTTACTTGATTTTTGTATATCCTACAAGGGTGGGAAGCTGTTAAGCGTTTTCATACATCGGTAACAGTGTAGTGCTATAGTCATGTTTCAGCTTCTTATTGTAGGAGGATTCTAAAGGAAAAACTGTTTTCCAGTATTTTTTCCTTTAATATGTTTTTTTATAATTATATGTGGAGTCTTTACTGGAGACAGTTGTTTTGTTGATATTGAAGTTGTTGAAACTCATTGACTTTGTAGCTCTGTCGATCTTTTTTTGCTATTCTGCTATTTTGTTTTCTGGTAGTATCTTTTAACTGGGAGGTGGTATTGTTTGTTGGGTTTTTGTGGCACGTACTCCATATAGTGTTTGTTCCATGAAATATTTCCTTTCTAAGAGTTGGAGAATGTTCCACCCATTGTGTTGCCTGTTTCAGGCGTATTAAAACTTATTTCCTTGGTAGTGTGTTAGTGTTTTATATACTTCTGGACCATTTGTCTGTATGGACTTAGACTTTTGCTGAGACATCATAACCAGGGTGTTTTCTGTAAGCTAGAAGCCTTAAATATGTGCAAGAAACTGAGCTTTTTCTGTGTACTTCAGCCATTTTATTAATTGAACAGTAAACCCAAATGTCTATGAAACTTAGGTTTCTTCTTAGGATGAGGGAGTTTCTGTTGTGAAAACAGTGTGGTGTTCTGAGCATGATGGCTGTATCCTTGAGAAAGAAGATGATGGCAACAATATGAATGCAGTTCTTGTATCTAGATTGTTCTTTGATAAAGTATCAGCAGGTGCAGGATGCACTGAGCTAGTAGATAAAAGCATGTAGGTGTTCTATCTAGGCTTTTCCTCAGCTGCTTCAGTGATTCCAAAATATGTGGTTCCACAAGCTTGAGAGAGGCAAGAGTGCTGTGGTTCCAGTAACGAGGCTGAAGGTGTATTACCGACAGGTCTGTGCACGCAGACCGCATGCACATCACACATACATATGTACCAGGCTGGCCACACAGGCCACAGACAGGCCTGTGAGCACAAACTGCACCACCAGCCTCCAGCTGAGAGCGGCCTCGCCTCTCCCTGCTTGAGACAAACTGAGGTCCAGGGGTGAGGATATATATACACACACACACACGCACGTATATATGTGCATGCATGTATGGGGGGTGTGCATGTATCCTCTCAGTATGTATATAGACACGTGCATATACACCCGCTGTACCTGTGCATGTCATGAGTGACAGACATGTCAAATGTGATGTACATGGAGTGTGCATGTAACATGCCACATGTTGATTCTGACATACATGTCAAATCTGACATGTCACCTAGGTCATGTTACATGTCACATCACATACCTGTCCTGTGTGCATTTCCTGTCACATAGATGTCATGTGTCACAGACATCACATGGTTGTCACGTGTAGCATGTACATATCACACATGTCATGTGTTGTATTACAGTACATCACACATCGGTCATACATGTCAGATGCATGTCACAAATGTTACACAGATGTCACAGAAGTTGAATACATGAACGCATGTTACACACTTGTATGTCACATGTCATACATTTTAATTTTCTGTTAAAGCTGTGGAATCAAGCAGGAGAAATGCACTTAGGAAATTGATTTTCATAAGTACTGTAAGGGAGTTTGCTGAAGTTTTTTACAACTTGCAGGAAGTAAAGTTCCCCTTGCTATGCATTTTCAGATGCTTTCAATGTCATGCTCTTTTTCTCTTTACAAGCTTAGGCAAATAGAGAGGCTGATCCTGCAGCTACTATTTAAGTATATAAACCTACCTATATTTAGTCAAAGATTGGACAGACAAAAATATATGGGGAGTTTATTTGCTGTATGTGGAATTTTTATCAGTATCTTAAAAAATTTAGCTGTTTTATTTTTTTAACGAAAGGCTAAATGGCTGCCGGATGGACTACAGTGATAGTATCGCATGACAGGGAGGAAAGTACAGTTCTAGTTGAGTCAAATTGACTAGAACTTGATAAATTCCATGTTAATATTGAGCCAGTATGTATTTTATAAACATACAAATTTTAGCGAGAAACCTACTGTGTGTTTTTTCTGCAGACTTTATGAACAAAAGTAAACTGGTTTTTCTGACTGTCTTTGGAACTATGCTATTTGCTCTCTTTTGCCAACAGCAGATCTTTATTTAGCCTAAGTTTTTACCATTTCCCTTAAAACTCACCGTTACCTACTCTTTATGGTGCACTGTGTTGTGACAGTCTGAAATCTCTTTGCACACAGAACTGTAGTGACCACTACTGTGTGTATCTTGGATCCACAGTAACTTTTTTTGCAAGATTCTGCTGCAGTATTGCTTGCTGTGCTTATTTTCTGTTGCTTTTTGTCATTCAGTGGCCCTTAGAGTATGCAAAATCACAGTGACTTGAGCATAACTGTGCTCTGAAACCTAATTTAGTCAAGAAGCTTGTAATTGGAAAGAGTATGTATTTGCAGTATCCACTTCAGTGAAACGAGCACTACGTTGTTAACCAGTAACATTAAACTAGGTCTTGAACCTTACATAAAAGGAAGTGGGCATCTATAACACGAAGTCTGTGTATTGCTAAATAAAATCCTGTCAAAATAGCAATACTTAATTCTAAGGGGTTTTTACACTACCCTTTGCCTTAGATTTTCTGCAGCACAGCGTGTGTTTTTACATCCTTTTCCAGTATGGATTTTGTTAATATGACGTAACTTTCATCAACTGCTGACATGCAGAATGATTTGTAGACACCTTACATACTTTTTAGGAAACATACAGTTATGTATGGCTGAAACAGAAATACCAACTTAAAACATTAATCAGAATCCAAAAGGCCTCATGACTCTAAGCATGTGCAACACAAGCAACTTCCCCTACGTCAGCTAGCTTTATGTCTCAGCAGTCTTTATAGACAAACAGGTACTTCTCTGAAAAGGTTTCCGGAAGCGTTATTGGAGGTGTTACATAGGGAGCAAGTCAGCCAGAAAATGTTTCAAAAATCCACAGCAGAGCATGGCTTACTGTACAAAAGTCACATGGTAACCCCTACAATTAATGCCAGCATAGCCAAAGCCTCTGCTTTCCATTGTTGTGAAACTGCAGCGCTCTCAGTATATTGCAGCCCAACTCCAAAGCAGTTTGTGCAGACCAAAAGCAGTGTATATGTTTCCACACTGCATGTGTTTTATTTATGAAAGAGTTAGTGAGCTATGGCTTCTTTCTTTCCTTATGGATGCATGGGTAAATACCTGTTTACCATAACTTCTTGGTTTCTGAAGTACTTGACTATTTCTACCTTACCTAATGTTTACTGTTTAGGGACTTAGAAAAGGTCATGGTTATTCCACATGGGATGTCCCAACTCCATGGATTGACCCTAAGGTAGATTTTACCAAATCTTCAGAGTTGAGATTCCTCATGCTTAAATCAATTATAAAGGAAGCCTCATTTATATAAAAGGAGCTGTGTTCAATGCAAACTGCTCCTGCACCCTCTTGCTGACTGCTGGGAGCTGGGGCAGCGATGCAGATACACTTGTGGCCTGATCCTGGAACAGGTTTGCAAAGCCACATGTTCTATGTGATGCTGTTGCTTTAGGGTGCAGCTTTCTGCTGTAGGTAGAGGCTTTAGATGCAACTGGTTCAGAAGGTTATAATGCTTAAGTCGCCCAGTGAAGATATTCAGTGAAATCATGGATAATCTAAACCTATTACTGAATTACAGCTGCGTTACGTAATATGCGTTTTACAGCTGTAAATCTATTAATGATTAGTCTTAAATCACATTAACTGTGTATATTTGCTATCGAACTGTAATTTTATTTCCGTTCCCTCCCTAATATTTGGGTGCAAGCTAGCCCCGCCTGGGACCAGCTTCCCACACTAGGTCTTTCAGAGCCAGACCTGATGTGGAGTCCAGCAGGTGTTCGAGGGGGTCTCTGCATTGGGCTCTGCAGATTGGTGGCACTGCCAGGCAATCTCAGCCTTACTTGGGTTTATTGTTGTGGTTGCTCAGGTATGGTTGAGCTCGCAAGGTTGTACATGCTAAAATTCCTCTGCAGTTGGCAGTACTAGTCAGAAGGCAGCAGTATTCATATCATTCTTAATTTCTTATGGGTGTTTTTAAGACTAGTCTGTCTTTGATTTTATCTCCCAGGCTTAGTGCTTCCTATGTCTTCAAATACAGTCTCACTTTGTTTAAAGGTGATTTTTTTTTCTTTTTTTTTTTTTTTTGCATGCTGCTTTTAAGCATTTATCAAGAAGGAATCAATGTAAGGAGGAGCATTCTACAAAGATTGACAAGGTAAAATTTTTGTGAATAAATTTCTTGCCTGTTTTCTCATTTGTATTTAAGTATTACTGTTATTACAGGCAGTCATTTGGGAGGCATCTTGATTTGAGAAGAGGGTGGAGCAGATATGTTTGTGGCTGGGATGACTGACAGTGTTTTGCTTTTCTGAGTCCTTGTGGGTGGGGACAGAGCACTCCTTCACTGTGGGAAGAGAAGATAAGTAGAGCAACAGATACAAGCACTGTAAGTATTTTCCCAGTTTTGGCGGAAAGCTGTAATTAACGCCTGTTTTCTCTTTGCAGCTTTCAAGAAAACTGAAGGTTTTTCCATTGTTAGTCTGTTTTTAA